AGAATGAAACGTACCTCTCACCATACACCAAAATCAACTCAAAATGGATAAAGATTTAAATATAAAACCTGAAACTATAAAACTCCTAAAAGAAACATAGGGTAAACAGTTCAGGAAGCAGGACTGGGCAAAGACTTTATGACTAAGACCACAAAAAGGCAGGCAACAACAACAACAACAACAAAAAACGAATGGGATTATAGAAAACCAAAAAGCTTCTGCACCACAAAAGAAACAATCAGCAGAGTGAAAATACAACCTAAAAATGGGAGAAAATATTTGCAAACTATGCATCTAATAAGGGATTAATATCCAGAATATACAAGGAATTCTAACAATTTAACAGTAAAAAACAAGTAACCTGATTAAAAAATGGTCAAAGGAGCTTAATAGGCATTTCTCAAAGTAAGATATACAAATGGCCAACAGACACATGAAAAAGTGCTCAACATCACCAAACACTAGAGAAATGGAAATCAAAACCACACTGACATATCATCTCAGTTAGGCTGGCGGTTATCAAAAAAGACAGAGAATAACAAATACTGGCAAGGATGTGGAGAAAAGGGAACCCTCCTACACTGTTGGTGGGACTGTAAATTAGTGCAGCCATTATGGAAAACAGCATGGACGTTCCTCAAACAATTAGATATAGAACTGCCATATGATACAGCAGTTCCCACTGCTGCTGGGTGTATACTCAAATGAATGGATATCACCATGCTGAAGGGATACCTGCATCCCATGTTTATCCCAGTTCTATTTACAATAGCTAACATATGGAACCAAATTAAATGTCCATTGTCAGACGACTAGATAAAGAAAATGTGGTATATTTAGACAATGGAATATTACTCAGCCATAAAAAAGATGAAATACTGCCATTCACAGCAACATGGATGAACTTAGAAAATTAGGTTAAGTGAAATAAACTCGGCACACAAAGAGAAATACCACATGTCCTTACTCATAAGTTGGAGCTAAAAATATAAACAAATAAAAGAAAGAAAGAAAGATACAACAATCACAGTAACTCCTTGAACTTGCAAAAGGACAGACCAGAACAGAGGCCACCAGAGAGGGAAAGGGGGAAGGAAGGGGAGGTTAGCGAGAAACTGGTAAAGGGCCACAAAAAATGAATACATTATGAAATGATAAATATAGTAGTTATTCTGATTTGAGCATCACATATGGTACACAGGTATTTATATTCAATACTGTACCCCACAGATATGTGCAATCGATTATGTTTCAATTTTTAAAAAATGAGAAAAAGTAAAAAATAAAAATAAATATTACACACACACAGACATTATGTGTACAAGTACATTAGAAGAGTGGAAGAATGGGCCAGCCCGGTGGCGCACTGGAGAGTGCGCCACTTGGGAGCGCGGCGGCGCTCCCGCCGAGGGTTCAGATCCCATGTGGAGACCGGTTCCCACTCACTGGCTGAGCGATCCTGTTACCGGTCAGTAAAAAAGACAAAAAGGAAAAAAAAAAAAAAAGAAGAGTGGAAGAAAATACACTAAACATTTAACAGCAGTTACATATGGGGAATGGGACTGGGCATGGGAGGCATGAAGAAAAGAACTTTTACTTTAAAAAAGACTTCATTTTTTAGAGCACTTTTAGGTTCACAGCAAAGTTGAACAGTCTTAGGTTCACAGCAAAGTTAAGCAAAAGGTACAGAGATTTCCCATAAAATCCTTATCCCCACATACACACAGCTTCTCCCACTATCAAATTCCCACACCAGAGGGTACATTTGTTAAACTGATGAACCTAGGGCCGGCCCGGTGGCACACTGACGAGTGCAGCGCTTGGGAGCGCGGCAGCGCTCCCGCCGAGGGTTCGGATCCCATGTGGAGACCGGTTCCCGCTCACTGGCTGAGCGCGGTGCGGGCGCAACACTGAGGGTTGCGATCCCGTTACCGGTCAGTAAAAAAGAAAAAAAAAAAAAAAAAAAAGGAAAACAAACAAACAAACAAAAAAACTGATGAACCTACACTGACACATCATTATCACCCAAAGTCCATAGTTTACACTGTGGCTCACACTGTGTGTTATAATTTGTGTTCAAAATTCTATGGAAGTGGACAAATATACAATAACATGTATATACCATATAGCATTATGCAGAATAGTTTTATTTCCCTAAAAAAAAAAAAAGGGTGAATAACCAATGGAGGCTGGCATCTCTGGAGAGACAGAAGAGGATAGGACCATATACCTAGAATAGTTTATCTTTTCTCCACTCTTTCATCACAATTCAGTTAAAAGACTTTTCTTTCTCTTAAGAAGCCACCCATTACCAATCCATCTCACTAAGTATCCTTTATTATATGTTTTTTAAAATCCTTTGCCTTATACTGCATTATCACATATTCATATGAATATGTTTAGAAATTCATATGTATATATATTCCTGCTTTCTCTGGTATCTTCTACTATACATTCAACATGGACAGAAGAAATAAGCCTTTATTAAATGAACAAAAGTAAGGATAACTGCATGTGCATGAACAATAACACATTCTAAATCTGAGATTTTTCACCTCTGTGCATATGTATTAAAGAAAAAAATTATTAATAATGAAGGCAAAGTTTCTATACCATATAGCTGTCATTTAGCAAAATGGAATTGTCTCTGGGCCAACTGGGTCCAACACTACTCTTAGAGTCAAAGGCAGAAGTAGTTGACTCTTGGCATATTTTCCTCTGAGTAAACAGCCAGCTTACACTCAGACCTCACAATAACTTACTCTTTTACTTCCAAACTAGATTACTGCTGCTATACTGGGTGCTGTACTGTTAAGATAAAATTAAAGATATCTCCTACATAGGGAATGGGAGAAATAAATCTACAGGGGAAATTTATTAAAAATTCTAAAACAGCTTCTTTTAACTCCAAGTAAAATCGAGTATTTGGGTGTTACTACAGAGTGTTACTTGGCTCAGAAAATGATTATGTTGTATATAGAAAACTATGGAAATTTCAGGGCTATTTGACTATTTACCAGGCAACATTAAAAGGTACTATATTGCTTTACATTTAAACCCCCAATATCCCACTAAAAAATCTTCTGAACTCTAACTGCACTTATTGTTAACAACTTAATACCTGGTACTTCCAGTGCCTAACCTGGACTGTAAAATCATTAATATCATTGTATCTTGATCTCCATCTTCTAAATCTTTTATTTCTTTTAGTATGATACTACAGTGTATAAAAGCTATAGGTACTAAACGAATATTTGTTGATTTACTGTTATTTAAAGGGATTATCCCTTCCTTTAGAGATATAAAATACAATTCAACTAACCAGTGGAGAAAGTATAAAGAAACTGCAAAAGAACAGAGACAAAGTAGAACAAAAGAGAAAAACTGTGGTAAATCAAATAAGGCTCATGAAGAAACCTTCATGAAGAAGGCTTCTAATCAATATTTTAAGGAGAAAAAAATGAATTAATGAGGAATAAAGGGAGGGCATTCTTTTTTTTTTGTCTTTTTTTTTTTTCCGTGACCAGCAACGGATCGCAACCCTCAGTGTCGCGCCCGTACCGGACCGGGACCGGCAACGGGATCGCAACCCTCGGTGCTGTGCCCGCACCTCGCTCAGCCAATGAGCGGCCGGTCTGTATGTGGGATCCGAACCCTCGGCGGGAGCGCCACTGTAGCAGTGCGCCACCGGGCCGGCCCAAAGTGAGGGCATTCTATCCATTTAAAAAAGCAAGAATGGAGCTGGCTGGTTAGCTCAGTTGGTTGGAGCACGGTGTTATAACACCAAGACCAAGCGTTCAGATCCCCATACCAGCCAGCCCCACACCCCAAAAAATTGAAAAATATGAATTAAATTAAAAATCAATAATGCACTAGTTTTGTCATTGGAGTAGAAGGTACAGTGACATGACTAATGTTTAATGAATATTATCATTCTCTTCCGATTTCACCTAATTCATACTTGGTGATGTGAACAAACAGGCAATAAGTCTTTGTGAAGATAAAATGTCGTTATCTTGTGATGTCATAGTAAACAAATTATTTTAAGATGTTCTATTTAGCAAGTGAGCTAATACCTTTTATTAACAAGCAAAGCAAGAGAGGAGAAATGGTTACACAATCTTCCCAGGCAGAATTTGATACTAAGATTGTTTGATCCTGGGTATTTTTGGCCTGTTTGTAAGTTACTTCTATTTGGAGGTTTGAAAAAGCAAGAAAAATAGAATTAGCTGATTCTGTGGGAGTTATCTAGCTCAAGGAAACTTCTCTTAAATCACTTTCTTGAGTCAAGTATCCTGTTGACCTTCCTCCAATTAAAGTTGTTATTGCTCTGTACTGTAATTGCCAAATTTCTTGAATATCTTTCCAACTGGACTATATGGGAAGGGACCACACACTGCGTGACACATGGCAGAATCTCAATATTTATTGAATAAATCAATTATTTCCAGCTTAAAACTGCAAGGTTAAAAAAAAAAAAACCTAGTGATAGGTAGGGCCTAATCAACTTAGTAAATGAATGGAGAATCTAATACTTTAATGCATGTTTAAGTATTATAAGACAAAGCTTCCCCCAAACAATGCCTGTATAGTAATTCATTTTCAAATATAACAATTAGAACATTTTATTACCCAAATTTCTCAACAAAACCTACAGAGGGATTTCTAAATGTCCTGACTCCTAAATGTCATTTTCTTAAGAAAAAAAAATCTGTTTTCATTTAAGAGGAAGAAAGCATCTGAAACCACTAAGTTCTATTTTCTTACATTCCTATCACTTAAAAACCGCTGAATTAATTTTTCTTTAAAAAAAAAAATAACTACTGCCTTGTAATAAAATTCCAAAAATAGAGATTCATCATGGAAAACCAACATGAATTAATCCACAACAAGGCTCTTATAAAAATATGATGTTTAGATTCTAGTTACTTAATTTGGCCCACAGTTTACTATAAAAGTAATAGTAATTTTTAAAATTATATATATTGAAGTTTACTTACTTCAAAGCTTCCTCAAATTTATGAATTTTCTTTTGAGCATCTTCTTTCTCTTTATTAAGTTCACTCTGCAAATCATAAACCTGCCATGACAAGAACATGTAAAATTTACTGGAAGACAAGTAAAGATTACTCAAAAGAGAAATACAATGAAACAGTAATCTCTAATCCATTTTAATATAAAATTAGATTTAGATATTTCAAGATAGAACTTAGTCAACCATAAACATTTACCATAGAATAATTTCAATACTATACTTCTAATATCAATTTTTTGTTCAAAGTTAATAATTGCTTGATTCCACCTGCATGTGGATTCTCTTAAAATAAACAGATATGTAAAAAACTAAACAAGAGAGCAATCTCTTTTGATTTTTTTTAGAATCACATTTTAGCCAAAGAAAAGGATTCTCAAGATTCAAGAAAATATAAAATTACTTCAAAAGTTTAATTCCAAAAATGGAATTAAAAGATAATACAAATCATCCATGAGCTTTTTGAAGACCTCATACAATAACATATCTATACTCCCCAAATACATAAGGGTTATGATGAAATAGTCTTCTTTCCCACTGCTGGGAATGATATGCATAACCATTTAGAGTTCAGGAGGAATCTTCCCACCATGACTGTCTCTTCCCTAAACGCGGTATTCTTTGAGTAGGTAGGATGGCAGCATCAGTAACAAGCGCTAAATGAAAATTTCTCTTCACAGACAGCTCTTCATTTGCAAATGCAGATACGTATACCCAGTGTGGACATTATAAGGATCTTAAAATATGAAAACTGGTACAGCTGGACAGAAAGGGAGGAGTAAAACAGGAGCCAGGGTGCCCGATGCATGGCAATTGAGTGAAGATACACAGCCTAGCTGGTAGGGATAGGAACGCCCACTGCAGACCTGCTGGACAGCAGGGTGAGGCTGAAAGTGAAGCTGATGGACAGCAGGGTGAGAGAAGAATGACAAGAACAGCAACAAGACATATACGCACTATGACAACCACATCAACACTGAATTAGCACAGCCAAAAATATCTGGAGTTAGCTATCTATGTTAGCTTGAATGGGGACCTATTTAACTAAAACCGTATAGTCTTCAACCTTTTCCTTTTATAATTCTCTTGTATTATTTCTCTTGGTATTTTAGTAAAATAAATTAATAAAATCAACTGTAAACTAAAATGAGTGAGGACAGGCAGGTAAATTTCCATAATATCAAAAAGTTTCTACTGGCTGCTATGATGGCAATCATTAAATTGAGAAAAAACCTGAGAAGCAGAGAAGAAAATGCAGGGTCGTCATGGGAGGGGGTGGACCATCAGTGGAACTAGGAGACAGGGGCCCCTCTCCCCATATTGAAAGTGGCAAACTTAAAATATCTCATAAAGACTATTTTTCTTATTAGGAAGAGAATGAGCAACCCACCTAGCAAATTTTTGCCCCGACATTTATTTTACTTTACATGGGAAAAGAAGACGTCTGCTTCAAAATTTTACCAGGTTCAAGACTGAAATTATTGTTCCACTTATCTTGGATCCTAATATACATTACAGTGCTTGGCATGTAGTTATGCTAAATTGGAGTATGAACATTACTAAAGCTACAGAAGCACAAATCTAGTCTTTTTTTAATGTGCAGAATCAAAGATTAAAAACCCTCAAAATAAAATTAAGAGATAACCTAATGTAAAGATTCTGGAAACATATATGTTTTAATACCAGTAAAATTCTTCCTTAAAACAAAATCTTAAGTGAAAATCAATATACCAACTTTAAAAAAACCCAGAGAAAAGTTAATCTATTCAAATAGAAGGTTAGGGAAGGACAGATGGGAAGAAAGTTAAAGGGAGAAACTGGTTAATATCTCAAGTGTTACATTCCATTGGTGTTTGTTTATACATATTTACCTATCCTTTTGCCTTAACTTTATTAATTATTTTTAAGTCTCTTGCAAATATCACAGTTAGATTTGGCCCAAATTATACATCCTTCTTTTAACACAGGAGCATATGGAATTTATTACTATCACTAAAATATTCATAGTTATGCAATTTTTTATGCTTCCTGGATTTTAGGTTCCTTATTATATACAGCTTTTGTTGCTGTTAGTGTTCCAAACTCCTCCATGTTCTGACATGATAGAGACAAAAAATTATTTTTTTGATTTTATTGGCATATAATTGGCAAATAAAAATAGTATTTATTTAAGGTATACAACATGGTGTTTTTTAAATTTATTTTTTAATTGACAAATGACAACTTGTACATATTTTTGGTACACCACATGGTGTGTTGATATATGAAAACTTTGTGAGTTGACTAAATCAAGCTAATTAACATATCCATCATATCACATAACTTATTTTTGTGATTAGAACATTCAAAATCTATTCTCTCGGCAATTTTCAAGTATACTATATGTTATTATTATAGTTACTATGAACTTATTTCTCCTGCCTAAACTGAAACTTTGCATCCTTTAACCAGCACCTCACCATTCCCTGCTGCACCTCCCCCCAGCTCCTAGTAACCATCATTCTACTCTGCTTCTATGAGTTTGCTTTTTTTAGATTCCACATAAGTAAGATCATGCAGTATTTTGTCATCCATTTTCATCCATGTTATTGCAAATGACAGGATTTCCTTCTTCTCTAAGGCTGAATAGTATTTCACTGTCTTGTATTTTCTTTATCCATTCATCAATAGACGGACACTCAGGTTGATTCCGTATCTTGGCTATTGTGAATAATGCTGTAATGAACATGCAGATATCTCCTCGACATACTGATTTCATTTCCTTTGGATATAAACCCAGAAGTGGAACTGCTGGATCATACAGTAGTTCTATTTTTAATTTTCTGAAGAACCTCCACACTTTTCTATAATGGCTGCATTCAGCAATGTGTAAGGGCTCCCTTTTCTCAACATTCTTTTTTTTTTTTTTTCCTTTTTGTCTTTTTTCGTGACCGGCAACGGGATCGCAACCCTCGGTGTCGCGCCCGCACCGCACTCAACCAGTGAGCAGACCGGTCTCTATATGGGATCCGAACCCTCGGCGGGAGCGCCACCATGCTCCCAAGCGCCGCACTACCGAGTGCGCCACCAGGCCGGCACTCTCAACATTCTTGCCAACACTTGTCTTTTGGTTTTTGTTTGGTTTTTGCTCTCATAAAAGCCATTCTAACAGGTGTAAAGCGATACACTTCCTTGTAGTTTTGATTTCCATTTCCCTGATGATTAGCGATGCTGAGCATTTTTCATACACCTGTTGGCCCTTTGTATATCTACTTTTGAGACACGTATGTTCAAGTCCTTGGCCCATTTTAACCATCAGGTTTTTGTTTTCCTGCTGTTGAGTTGTTTGAGTTACTTATTTTTTTAAATATTAAACCCTTATCAGATATATGGTTTACAAATATTTTCTCCCATTCTGTAAGTTGTTTCTTCACTCTGTTGATTGTTTTCTTGCCTGTGCAGAAGCTTTTCTAGTTTGATGTAATCCTATTTGTCTATTTTTGCTTTTGTTGCCTGTACTTTATTGTAATATCCAATAAACCTTCGCCAAGACCAATATCAAGGTTTTCCCCTATGGTTTTTTCTAGTAGTGTCACAGTTTCAGGTTTTACATTTAAGTCATTAGTCCATTTTGAGTTGATTTTTGTATATGGGGTGAAATAAGGGTCCAATTTCATTCATCTGCATGTGAATATCCAGTTTTCCCAACACCATTTATTAATGAGATTCTCCTTTCCCCACTGTGTGATCATGTCACTTCTGTCAAGGAATTGACCTAAATGTGTGTATTTCTGGGCTCTCTATTCTGGTCTATATGTCTGTTTTTATGCCAGTACCATATTTTGATTACTATAGCTGTGTAGTATATTTCTGAAATCAGAAAGTGTGAGGTTTCCAGCATTTTTTTTTTTTTTCTTTTGGCTGTTCAGATCACTTTAGTAGCAGCATGGACATTTTAATAACATTAATTCTTCCGATCAGTGAACTTGGGATATCTTTCCATTTATTTATATCTTCATCAATTTCTTTCATCAATGTTTTAGTTTTCAGTGTACAGATCTTTCACCTCCTTGGTTAAATTTACTCCTAATTATTTTTTGGTTGTTGCTATTGTAAACAGGACTGTTTTCTTAATTTCTTTGGATAGTTTGTTGTTAGTGTATAGAGAAACAACAAATTTTTTTTTTTCCTTTTTGTCTTTTTTCGTGTCCGGCAACGGATCGCAACCCTCAGTGTCGCACCCGTACCGGACCGGGACCGGCAACGGGATCACAACCCTCGGTGTTGCTCCCACACCTTGCTCAGCCAGTGAGCGGGAACCGGTCTGTATGTGGGATCCGAACCCTCGGCGGGAGCGCCACCACGCTCCCAAGCGGCGCACTGTAGCAGTGCGCCACCGGGCCGGCCCGAAACAACAAATTTTTCAATGTTGATATTGTATCCTGCAACCTTACTGAATTCATTTATTACTTCTAACAGGTTTTGGTGGAGTATTTAGGGTTTTCTATATATAAGATTAGGTCATCTGTAAACAGAGACAAATTTATTTCTTCCTTTCCAATTTGAGTGCATTTTTCTTCTTTTTCTTGCCTAGTTTCTCTGGCTAGGACTTCCAGTATTGTCTTTAGGAGTGGAAACAGTGGGTATCAGTGTCTTGTTACTGATCTTACATTTCAGTTTCCATTGAGTATGATGCTAGCTGTGGGTTTGTCATATATGGCCTTTACTATGTTGAGGTACATTCCTTTTATAACTAATTCGTTGAGGTTTTTTAAATCATGAAAGGATGTTAAATTAGTTTTTATCATAATAGGGTGCAAAAATTTTGTCAAATGTTTTTTCTGCATCTATTGAGATCAACATATGATTTTTATTCCTCATTCTGTGGTATATCACATTTATTGATTTTCCTATATTGAGCAATCCTAGCATCTCAGGGATAAACATCACTTGTTCATGGTGTCTGATCCTTTTAACATGCTGTTAAATTCGATCTGTTAGTATTTTGTTGAGGATTTTTGCGTCTATGTTCATCAGGGATATTAGCCTGGTTTTTTTGTTGTTGTTGT